ATTTTTATTGCCATCACTCACTTTTATTTTGGCCTCCTCCCACACAATTTACCACAGGGACAGGTTATCTTCTTCCTAGACTCCCTACAAATATGGGTGGTTTGGGAGGATAATTAGATGTTTTATGCATCCTTTCTCCCTGTATGCTCATTCTGACCCAGATCATTTAATTTGTTCTGTGCAATCTATTCTCTGTTATTTCATAGGTTTTCTTGTCTCTAGTCATCAGTGCCCCTTGTACTCAGTCTTGAAGGTGGAATGTGAAAAACCCTGACATATTTGTGTCCCATTACTTAGACCACAGAGAGGTTTCACCTACCTAGCTTTCCTCTCCCTCTAGTTACCATTTTCCATTATTTACAGTGGCTGTGGTAATGATTTGTTTATTTTTCTCTTTTCGTTTTCAGGACTTGCAAATATCTTATTCAACATGTAGAAATATCCATGTTATGGAGACAATGGAACTCCACAAGTGGTCAGTCTTGCCTCACATGGAATATTTTCCCAAAATCCACATTGAGCGAAGGAAATACAGAAAGTGTTATGCCCATCCACCCCTGCATAGATGCAGTTTGTGTGTGCATCTATATATATATATATCAGGTCATTCTGCTCCTGACAAAAAGGACTGACAACACCAGGTGTGTTCCTGCCTTCTTACCTGGCTTGTGCCTGCTGTCTTTAGTTGCAATAATCCATTTCACTGTCTATCAGCATGGGTCTTAATTTCAACTAATTTTGATTGATAACATTGATCCATGCACCTCTCTGGTGTTCTCTCTTATGTGACTTTCTCACCACCATTTCTGATAGCAGAGTACATGAGAATCCTTGCTTCCTCAGTCCCAAGCTGCTAGGGAAGTTGATATAGAGAGTTCCTCATTGGGCAGTGCAATCCCTCGTTTGGGAAGTAGGGCTTAGATGTTACCTGGTAGTGTAACATAGGATGCCCCTCTATGTCATGAATCAAGTCATTCCCACAAGTTAGCCCAGCCAGATAGGTCTTGGGTTCACATTAGGAAGGTCTGGGATGATACTCCTTGTACCTGGTTTTTATGTTGAATATCTCATGTAAATATTTTCCTAATATGAAATGACCTGACTTACAGCCTTAGCCATACTACACACTCATGCTCAGCTGTAGCTTGTGTAATAATGGATATTTGAGAAATCTGCCATACTACCCACCTTAGCAACATGTTAGCTCCCATTAAAAATATTTTTTCTGACAATATATTTTGCTCCAACACCACCACTGAGATGAATGCAGTCTCTAATTGAGTGTTGCCTCTTTAGGCTACCCACCTGCTTCAAGGATGTCACCATCCATGGGCTTTCCCTTGCTGATGCTGTTTTCAAAAAGGAACTCATCTTTGTAATGTTTCTGCATCAGCCCTTCCACCATCTGTAATGTTGGATTCTATCTCTCGGTGATGCAGAGGGGTGAGTACTGAAGTTAACATTTTCCTTCCCTGAAAATGTATTTTAGATGGATACTCACATTTCTGCATCACTTTCCACCCTTCCTACCCACTTCTGGTGCATTAAGTTTGTCTCGTCAAGAATGAACCTGTGTTGACATGCTAGTGTTCATGGGAATTATTGCTCATGAAGGATGTCACCTTCCTATTAATGGAAAACTAGTCTAATGATGATTACATCACAGGCTGGCATAATACACATTGACACGTGTAGGGATGGAAGCTTTGTTTAAGGCTGTAGCATGTGAAGAAAATTACATGGCAGTGTGCTCAAGTTGACAGGTCATGGTGATGCAGAGAGGTGAGTATCTATCTAAAATACATTTTCAGGTAGGGAATAAGTTAACTTAAGATATTGGACTTTTATTTTCTCTAGAATGTAGCAGAACTGGAGGTAACTTCATTTATATATTTGGAATTATTAGGATCATGGATAAACTCCATATGAGAGATCTGCTTGAAAGGTTGAAAAGGATTTGAAGGTTAATAAATATAATCTTTGAAAGCATAGATTCATGTATGTTCTTCAGTAGAATTGCAGTAGTATTATAAACCTGGAAAGTAGTTGTGCACATATATTTTTGAAGAAAGAAAATTGCTAACTTTTTGACCAAATGATCTCTATTGGAACATATGATCATAAGTATAAGATAACATTTGTGAAGAACAAATTAAGCATTATTTATTATTCAATATGGGAGCATCTTTGGCAAATAATCATTCATACATATCACACATTATCATTCTCATAAATAAATCACGTGTCCACTTAACTATCCACCTTATGGCAATAAAGTTAGAAAAAATTACCTTTATTTCCCAGATAATAACTTTTTGTTTCTGCCATTGTTTCACCACATCAGAACTAACAGTACAAGAACTGCTTTGTTTTATACTAAGTAAAGGTGGTTTTTCTAACTTCATTGTCAAAATGTCCCAATACCTCCAGTGTGTGCTACAAATTCTGAAAAACAACAAATACTTACCTTATGAAAAACTTTATTTTCCTGTGCCTAAGTCATTAGTACAAACTGTGATGTGATAACTTAATAGTCAGCCACATGGTGATGACTGGCATTGAACATAATCCTTTACAATATGTTTATTGTAAATTTATTCTTTACAGAGGTATATGTAAAATATTGTAAACATATAACATCTGTATATGTTAAGCTACAATTTATAAATACTTGACTGAGGAGATATAAAGAATGGGAGTATGGCAGTTGTCTGTGTAACACTGTACTTTACAGGTGCTTGTAAGTGTTTTAATATTAATAAGAAATCTGTATTAATTTTACAGTTTTGAATCATAAGACACTGTTCTTGCCTCTTAGCCCATATATGTCATTTTTTTTCAGATTATGTGAATTGTCAACGTCATGTATAATGTTTAAATAAATAGTTCCTGGGAACACACAGTCTTTTTATTGTGTTGAGCTAGTTGAGGCTAATGTTGATGTGCTAATATCACATGCACATGTGAATCTTCACACACTTCTTCAGTCAGAAGAATGCCTATTTATCACCATCTTCTGCTTTGTTTTTCTTTACCACTACCATCAATTTGACTCCCTTTTCCGTGGTGCCTAAGCCCTTATCAGAGTTTTTTCTGAAAATGAGAGGTTGATAAGCTGGACCACCTTCAACCTGAAAAGAAAAATAACATCTTTGTGAAATCATATTTATAATTGCTTATTAAACTCCGAAAATAGCGATTTTTGAGTTTTATTGTTAAGTTTCCAATATTTGCATACAAAATATGTCAAATGTATAGAACTATGATTTCTCAAACCTTGCTTTTATTCCTGTTCTAATGAAATTAGAAATCCTTTTATAAATCTTTCAGTTGTAAGGAATAGCTCTAATGTTGAATGACTTTTGAAAATTATCTAGTAAAGCCCAAATTCAAATTCAAGAAAGTTTCTTTGTCATTATACTGATCACTCACAGCCATACAGAAGCTTAAATAAGATCTTCATTTGCAGTTCATTCATCAAAGAGCTATCTCCTTGGCTAAGATCAGATCAGTATTTATGTTTTCTCTGTATACTGAGGTGGCAAAGTTCTGTTGATTTACTCAAGTTTTTATCTGGTTGGTAGGGGATCATTAATAAACTCTTAGGTGTAATTATATTTTCCTATCTATTTCAATACACCAATATTCTTCTTTCCAAAAAATAAATGCCAGCTTCTAAATTTATCTGTCTTTTATTACACTTTTTTTCAAATAAAAACAAACATTTAATTCTGTGAACTGTTCCTCCATTCCAGAAAGAGGAGTTTGCTTTAAAAATAACACACCATTCTTCTAGTTCTGCTTACTCTGTGGATGAAGATGTTGCTCCAAATTAGGTTGTGATGTGGCCTTAGAATTCATTTATATATCCAAAATGTTCTCCTGTACCAGTTTTCCACTTCCATGTAGAGCATTGCAGGTCTTATTCTTTAAACTTTTATGTCCTTTGTCTCCCTTGACCCATAACTTGATTCATGGTGTGGTATTTTAATATATCATGTGTTCCTATCTTGTAATCTTATATCATTTATTCTTCTTACATGCAGGTTTCACGTAACTCATTTTCGGAAATATCATTAAGTTCATTTCGTGTTAAGCTACCTTTTTCTTTTGTTATTCTTGGAATGTTTAATACCTGTTCCACCTGGGGAAACCATTGCTTAATATGACATCTTGTGTAAGAATGCTGACAGTAGTGTTTTTTTGAACAGTTGTTCAAGTGATGTTTAAAGGTTACGTCCCAACCTATATTGTAATGAGAATTACCAGTCACTTGGGTAGCACTAAGTCACTCTGGATAAATGTGAGGATTCTTACATGCTCAATAATGTTAAGGTTAGACAGTTTGGAACTTCATTTTCATTTAGTCAGTTTGGCCTGGCACATTGTTTAGTCAGTACAGTCTGGTACATGGATTCAGGTTAAACAGTTTGATATAAAGATCCAGTAAAGGTTATCGTCCTGTATAAGGACCAGCATGCACACACACACTCAGTGTTTATTTTTAGCATTCTAATAAAGGTTATTCATTGTGCCTTACACATTGTGTCCAATCTTGTTTTTTATTTTATATTAACACAGTTAGTAAGAGATTTAATATTACTCTCTAATCAACATCTTGAACAAATATCCTGTTATCTAGTGGACCTATCTGATATACATAGGTTTAATGTTAATTCAGTGATTAAAATTCCATTAAAACTGAATGCCAACACATCATACATTGTTTTAAAGAGAATGGGTACCCATCTAGTTTTGTCATCAATGGATTAGAGAACATAAAAGTTCAGACTGACAGCACAGTCAAGGAAAATTTTACCAACACTATTTATTTTATGTGTAAACCTAAGTGACAATATCAAATGTGTAACTGTAAAGTTGAGTGTTAATGTCTGTGGGAAATCTTACAGAACAATGAGATCTATCTTTTTCAGAAACTAAAAAAAAGAACATCTGATGACAAACAGAAAAACTTTACTTATGAAATATAATTTTCCTGTAAACAAATCTGCATTAGAAAAAATAAAAGATACTTTTGGGCAAGAATAAAAGAACATAAAGACTCCACAAGGCTGATGAAAACACAGAATTCTGCCCTACAGGTCATGCCATTTTCAGAGGAGATGAAACAGATGGAAACAATTACAGACTCATCAACTCGGATAAATTCTGGTAAGCAAGAAAAAGGAATCTTTCCATATCAACAAAATAAAACCATCACAGGCTTGGAAATTACAACTTTGTGTCTCCATTGGTAACTTTTTTAACTCCCTCCACCAACCATTGTGTAAGGATCACAAACCAATTATGTCGCATCCCTTGCAATCCTGCAAGTTAGTATATAAACTCCTGCTAAATCAGTGCTAGCTGACCTTGAGATGGGAGTCTTTCAAAACATCCTTTGTTTTCTGAGGGTATTAGCATACAAATGGAATAGCCTCTTGTCATCAGTAAAAGATGGTTTTATTTTTTTTGACAAGGTGGTGAACCTTTGAAATGGATTGCCTTCATATGTGATAGATGCAGTAGTATTGGGAAACTTCAAGAGTAGTCTTGACAAATACTTAAAAATTCAGGGCCAATATATGGAGATGGATATTTGATGAAATAACTGAAACAGCCACAATGGGCCCTTTGTTGTCTCTCAGTTATGTTGCCAATGATTCCACTGTTGACACATGTAGTGAGATTCCTTTGCAGTATTATTCACATATAATTGAAATAAAGTGTGATTAATCCTGTCTTAAATTATTCAAAGTCATAGAAATCTCCACTGGTGCTTCTGAATATTCTTCTATTTAACTGCTAACCAACTTTCTCTTTAGCATCAATAGAATGTCAGAATTTATTTTTTCTTTCTAAATCATTTTAGATAATTAAGGAATTGTTTCTTCTCCTGTAATGATAAAAAAACACAATGACCAAAGGTTACCATTTGAATTTCCTGAAGGCCAAACATTACAGTTCACAAAAGTGTACGTTGAAAAGTTGTTCAAATACTGTTTTCGTTTGTTTAAGTTATTAGACATTCTTAGCTATTCTTTGCCTCAACAATAGCTTTTTTTTTAAATATGCAACTGAAAAAACAACTAAAGCTCACATATGTGTTTGACAGTTTAAAACTGACAGTAATTATAACCTTACAGGTTGAAGATGTTTCCACATGAAGTAAAACTGAGCAATGGATGGATTTCAAAAGCTGAAAGGTGAAGTGATACATCCAGAAGTATCTTATGATGACTTACTGTCTTATTTAAATGACAGTCAAGATAGCTCAACACAACAAAAACTGGTAAGATTGTTCTGGTTATTTTGAAACTCTGAATATGGCTTTAAATTAAAAGATAAAAATATATAAAAGTTTGTCTAGGCAAATAGTCAAAAGGAAAACAATAAATAATAAACTTACATGTCTTTTTAGTTTATTTTCTGCGATGTTTTGAGCAGATGCCCTTCTTTACACAGCAAAGACTGTGTTGCAATTGAATCAGGCTCAAAAATAGTCGTTAAAATGACATTAGTGTTACAAAATACAATGAAATGTGTTAAATCTCTACACAATATACATACATAAAAACTACATTTAAAATTTACACCTTACAACAAATCTTTTAACTTCCCTCTCTTTTACACACAAGTTTGTATGTGTGAAAGAGTGATGGCAGTGTTGTCATATGGAATTAAAAAACACCCTATATAGATATATTTGTAGAATTCCCTAAAAAAGTGGTGAGGACCTTGTCTTTCTTACTCACCATGAGTGTAAAAAGGCAGCAGGCACTCTAGATTAAAACTACATACATAATATACCCTTGTACTACCTTTGTGATTTCTTGGGATTGATCTCATCATCTCTTTGTAGGAAGCTTTTTGCTCACAATGATTAGATAGGTCCTACCTGGGCTTCCAGTAATTGATACCCTAGTTCTTATCATGGAGGTTCCCTTATTGATTCCTGGTGCTGTTCTACAAATCAATTGGCTCATCTGGATGACTGTTGTCACAGTCTTTTGGTTTGTAGTCATCCTGGAACCTGCCCTGCCTCTGTTTTCTTGGGAGTGTCCCCCAATAGGACAGTGGCAAGAATAAAGACTTACAACACTAAAATCCAGGATTTGATTCCTCTTGGTGGACATAATGCAACTTTGGTCTAAAATAAACAATCTTCTCAAGAGTTGGATGCCTTTCAGGATACCTTCTAGTGCTGGGAAGCTTTGATTCAGATTTGGGACACAGTGGCCCCAACAGAAGTGCAAGAACATCTGATGCAATTTTCTAGTGATAGTGTTGAATCAGTTGATAGAACAGGTCACCAGGCCTCATCGTTCCTCAAGCTTCATCTCTTCCTTCTGCAGTGTCAGAAGTGGCATGACAAAGGCTACTTGGCAGCTTGGAGGCCAGAATCCTTGAGTGTCATAGCTGACATTGCCATTCTGAAGTTCCAGGTTGCAAGGATGATGCTTTTCTCAGCTCTTGAATCTTCTGCCATTGAAGATAGTAATGCAGCCCTTGGAAACTGCAGGGCTAATGTAATGATGGCAGTGCATCTTCATTGGTAGGCTCAGACATCATGTTAGTTAGGTCAGACTTGGATATTCCACTTTGTTTTGTCCTTGCTCAGGAAGAAATCCTGTGCTCAGCAGCTTCATAACTGAGGGAACTAGAAGGGCCCATCTCAGTAACCAAACATGATAGTCTTTTCAGGAGTTAGCAATACAGGAAATCCAATGGCTGTTCAATGAAAGAGAGAGACTGACCGTGGCTAAAAGTGAGTTTTCTTTTTGGTCAAAGGTTCAGGCAAGTACATTGGTTTAGGGGGATCATAATACTCAGCTACGTTTGTGAGCTAGGTGCTATTCAAATGACACATCTACTGTGTTAATGTGTACTCATGCCCATCACCATGCACAGGACATGTGCCAAAAAAAACTTGAGGACTTTTCAATCCTCTAGTTTCCCTAGGTTTTTATATAACCAACTAGCCTGTAGCCATGCTTCCCTCTGTTACCCTTCCTGAAAAACAGGAACACACACGCAGCAGCCTGGTGCTTTGCTTACCATCTAGTTACATTGACAGAGCCCAGTTCCAGTAGAATGGAATGTGCTCAAGACTACTTGAACCCTACACAGACAAGCTGACTTGGGTTAGGTGCCACTATTCTCACCTTTACAATTAGTCTTTGCCAACATTCTGAATGTCTGTCATTATGATTTTTTTCCATTTACAAATAATGTAAAAGTTACAGTATGAATTACAAGGTTTCATTATGTAGGTGGTACCTTCTTCCTACCCCTATAACACTTACAGCCAGCATTTTCATATTTCAAGACTGTATTTTCTAATAAAACAACATTAAAAAATATTCATAAAAGTATTTACATATTTAAAAATTTCAATCCACGTGACTGAAAATATTCCTGTCACAACCAAATAAAATACTTGGTATACACCACTATAAGTTGCTTTACACCAAAGAATGTAACCTCTTGAATACGTCACAGGTTACCTCTTATGTACATTTCACTGCCTTTTGGATGAGAGCACAAGAGATCTATTTAATGGTCTATATGCCACCAAGTGATCATAAACATCAGTTTACTGGTTTCCCCAGTTTCCTAAGTCAGGATCATTATTCGATCTTGAAAGATTGTTAAGTCAGGGCACTACTATGATTTGGGTTCCTCTACTGCCTCCTTGTTGGGGGCCTTCCTACCCAATTCCCTGGATGTTTTTCCTAGATGTCGGTAGGAGTGGCACCAGCCTACATGGGAACCTACTTGTTACACCAGTTCAGATTTGATGCTCTGCTATCTGTTTGATCAATATAGATTCAGTACATTGTTCATGGAAGAGGGTCCACTATCTCCACGTAATTTTGAACACAGAGTGGTCCCATCCTGGATCCTTGGTTGATTGGTTGAGCACAGTTTTTCCACATCCTCCTATAATTCTGGGGGCAAATGGGAATGTTCCTTTTCCACACAGTTGGGGAGTGAGTATGAATGTTTATAATTCCAGAATGGATGAATTCTGTTTCCTTTAACTGAATAAAGCATATACGTTCCCATCATTTCAAGCCTGGGGTGTTGCCTTTCGGGCTTCTTCAGGTGGAGGAGAAGGTTTGTCCTCTTTAGTGTTGCTTACTTTCTCTTTTTGATTCTAGTGGCTCAGAATGCATCACTTTATGGCTACAGGTTGGGTTCCTCTTATAAGTATATATAATGTTACGGTCTAATTGCACTAGCCACCAACATAGGATATAGAGACCAAAACCCCTTAATTACAACTCCTGAGTAGTGGAACCTCGGCTATGTGGTTGGGGCTGGCCTATAGTGATGATCTCTCATGTATAATTCCACCCACGATACAGGAATTATGTTCAGGTTGAAGAGATTACCTCTTCTGATTGTAGTGTGGTTCCCCCACTAGGGTGCCAATCTTCTACTGACACACCCATGATCTATGTAGACACTTTTTGTATGGATAATGCCTTCACCAGTCCCTCCACCTTCTCAGTGTGGGATTTTAGCTATAAGTGGGAGTGGAGGTAAGTATGTTTTGGAAGTTAACATTTTCCTAATTTGAAAATGTATTTCCAATAATACTTACCTAATAATACAATAATACTGTTATGACAGTAGAAGTCACGTGACGTTGGTAACACATAATGAGTATCTAGAAGGTTTGCGAAAAACGCTAGTGTGTTACGACAGTGGAAGTCAAGTGATGCTGATAGCACGTGATGAGTGTCTAGAAGATTCTCGAAGAGGCTATGCGGGCGGTATTATCATATATAAGTGCGCTAGACAAAGGGGAGAGAGAGAGTGGGGAACCAAGGACAGCAATTACGGTCGGTGGGAACCGAGGATAGCAGATACAGAGATCGAAACTATAGTTGCTGACAGGCGGAGATAGAGACGGACAATTAAGTCAAGCACAGTAGTAAAGTGAGTGAATTGTTGTGAATTATAGCATGTGTTTAAGTTAAAGTAACTGTGGAAATTAAGTGTATTGCAAAGTTGTATTGAGGAAGAATAAACTAGTTTTATTTAAGAAAGGACTTGTATCGCAGGAAAATTAACAAACGAACATACAGAGACGTAACAATACTAACAGCCAGTGTTAGAGACTGGGATGAAGTCAGTCTCGAAAAAGTAATAACATTATCTGAATGAGGTGCTTATATACAGTACCAGGATAAAGGACGCATTGACGTAGGTGGAGAGTGCCCTCAGACAAATATTGCCAAGGGCAAATGTAGGTGAAGAGTGGCATGAGACAAATATTGCCAAAGGCAATTAAGTGGGGTATAAAAGACTGGAGCAAGCGAGAAAAAATTCATACCAATGCTTAGATGGACAAAGGAAGAAACCCTGTCAGTCAAGTAATGGCTATAAGTGTGAAAGGAAGTAAGTATTATTGGAAATACATTTTCAATTTAGGAAAATGTTAACTTTCAAATCCCATGAAAGTTAATAAGACATATAAAAATTTGAAACATAAAAATGTGGGAGAAAGTTAGGTCAAAGCATGTGCATTTTGAAGCGTTAGTTCATTATCTCTGGATACCTAGTCATATCTGCTTTAAAAATTATTTGTAATTATGTAAAATCATTTGCTGACCTAGAATAGTTGAGCCACGACAACAATGGGGAACTTGTTCTCCAGCGGTGGCCACTAGA